GAGGTCCCTTTGGCTACGTTGAATCATGTTGTGTTCAGCTCACCTGATCATGAGCTGCTGTGATATGGTTTAGTGACGTCAGTCATCCACTCATCATTAGTCCATCTAACATTAAAGTGTTTTCTTTTAATGACTACGTCTTAAGATTGATTAGACAGGGTTTTAATATTTGTCATGTGTAAGGTTTGTTTAAATAAATGATCTTTTCTTACATTCAAGATTGCATGCATGGATCATATGTATTAAAAATCTATAATTGACTTTTTTCTAGCATAGAGGCTTAAAGTAATGACATTTTCCCTGTAACATACTGGGATGAGATGCTTTAAAACTTCTTCATTTAAATGACTTTGACTCACATTCAAGGTCACTCTACTCAATAGAATAGTTTGAACATTTTCTTCTGGAGAACAATGAGGCTAAGATTGATGATATTGGGTCTGTATATTTCTGGGATGAAGGACTATCATTTTCTTTAAAGAAATGACTTTGTTCTTCCTTCATGTTTGAATGAGTAAAATGTGTCTGAAGCCTAAAACAAATTGTTTCTAAGAGGAGATGAAGTCAAAATATTTGCTGTGTAGATTGCTGGAATGAATGTTCAAATAATTGACCTTGATATACATTGAAGTAACAGGAGTCAACTGTGTTAACATCACCCTAGAACTCTGTCTAGTGACATTTGAAAGATACGTTATATGGCCTGTAGCTTGTTGGGTGAGGGACCATCAACTTTGCTCAAGAAACTGCCCCCTGTTCACATTTAAGGTCACTTGGGTCAAATGTGTTAAAATCTCCAAATAACATCATCAAATAAAAGTTGGTATAAACTCATTTACCTAGTTACTATGCAGTGAGGAAATGGAATAATTTTCATTGTTAGGTTAAAGGAACTCTTACATTGACTCAAGTTTGTACCGTTCCCTTACAACAGAAACCAGCAGCTACACAGGGGAACCAGTCGGTAGACATTTAAGCAGAGAAGCAGCATCCTCATATGATGTTCATCACAATGTTGAATCATCTCACATGAGATCTGAAGTAGTCCCTAGTCAGGAGCAAATCAACCTTGAAAGAGGCCAACTAGAGGAGATGGAGTATGGTGAGGAAACCACATCACCCAAAACAACACTACCAGAGGAAAACACTGACAGCAGGGGATATCAGAAAGGAGACAGGATTCCCAATATTCAAACTATCACAGCTGGTGCTAGTGGTCCTGAAATAAAACATTTTCCTGTAGGTAAAATGGTGCCAGCTTACCTGCAAGGAGAAAATACAGAAGTGACAACGGTGGCATTCAGCCAAACCCAGGGAGGGGCTACAGGGACAATGGTGCCTGCTCACCCCCATGGAGGGGCTACAGGGACAATGGTGCCTGCTTACCCCCAAGGAGGTACAACAATGATGCAAGGTATGTGTATGAAAGAGTTCACTAATATCTATAATACTTATTTACATCACACCTTTATTGTATGTTTATTGTGTAATAGGAGAAAGAGAAACGCAAGGCCAGACCGGGATTTGAACCTGGACCCTATAAACTCTAGACAGGCGCTCTACCAGTTGAGCCACCTGATCACTGACTATCAACCCAGTCCAGTACTATCACATTCCTCCTTCCTTTTTTAAGTCATTTCCCCAGAAGATGTTCATATTAACAACCCAGATTGGGTGTCTCCCCAAGCAAACACCTAATGCTTGAAACAAGGATTGGCAAGCTTTCCAATTTCATCACAGGAGAAAGAGAAATGTACTGCCACAAGGTGGCACACACTGTAGTACAGTAGGACTGACCCTATAGACACTTATAATATAATGTTCAACCCAGGTTCTTTGACTCACCGCCAAGGGTTCTCCTACCTTGAACAGGAAGGGTCAACGGCACCAGTAGGATGAGGAATAGTGATAAAGATAGTATAGTGCCGTCGCTGGGGCTCAAACCCGCGACCCTTGGCACTCCATCCCAAAGCTCTACCTCTGAGCTAAAGGGAAATTCCCTACAGCTGACCCTTGTAAGGCAAACTAATCAATGCACATCTTTTACACACACTAAGCCTATATTCCATGGGTGCAGAGAGCGTAAGGTAGTGTAAACCCTGGAGTATAAAGGATGTGTTCCGCTACACATGGTTGTCACCTTTTTAGGCCACGTTGTTTATGAGGGGAATAGCTATAGTGGCTCTCATGTTCGTCCCCTCATGTTCTGTCATGCTCCATGGTGGCACACATTTTGATTCTTAGTTATTGCTCAAGTAACTTCATTTCTGAACAGACTTTGAATGAAACTGACCCACTTTCAAAGCCACAAATCCTTTATGAAAAGTTCTTTTTTACACAACCAATACAATTTTCTATGTGATGTTTCGATGACTAGTACGATATGTACACTGTCACCTTTATCAGACAAATGACCAGTGAAGGGTATGCACACAAAGGTGTAAAATGTGTACGAGTTGTCTACAAAATTGATGTCACTTCGGCTACGCTGTAAGCGTATGTACAATAGTTGTTATATATGTATACCTATAACTCCAAAGTTTTGGACAAAGAGAGCAATCTGGTTAAGCAGCAGATAAAGGAAGCCATCTGGATACGCCGCAGTGGGCCAGTTCTAAATCGAGACGATGGGGCTCAAAGACTCTCGCACATCTATGACCAAGTATTAAACAAAGCCTGAATCATTTCGGTACATATATAACAACTATTTTACATTTATGCTTACAGCGTAGCCGAAACGACATCAATTTTGTAGACAACTCATACACATTTTACACCTTTGTGTGCATAAACTTCACTGGTCATTTGTCTGATGAAGGTGACAGTGTACATATCGTACTAGTCATCGAAACGTCACATAGAAAATCTTATTGGTTGTGTAAAAAAGAACTTTTCATAATCCATACTTACCAACCTGAAGAAAATGTTTAGAAATAACCACAAGTCCTTTGTTTTCCATTCAGTACCAAACTGTCATGAGTTTTAATTTTCACTCTAATTGATAATTGTTTTTGTTGTCCTTTAGTACAAGAGCAGAACATACGCAACGTGAACTTTTCACTTAGCGGAGCAGAAACCAATGTGTTTGGAGATCACAACACTATCACTATCAACAAAACGGGTGAGTACCAGACTGTAACTCAGTGTGGATATATGTATCTAGGTGTGTGTGTGTAATATCTATTATACTGTAGTTTTTTTTGTCTGACTGCATTTTAGAGGATGATCCTTAAAATCAGTAATTTGTTGTAATTGTTTCTAGAAATAATAGTACTGAAAGATATTGATTTACTGTGATGGCATAGTTCTGCCATCGACTTTTGACTTGCGAGTTACTTGTCGACATAATTTTTAAAAGATGTCGACATAATTTATGAATATGTTGGAATAACGTTTGAATTATGTCGACATATTTTTACATTTTCTGAGATAATTTTGCCGAGATAATTATCATGTAAGTAGGTGACTCGACTTTTTATCGTGTAAATGCTCAGATGTGACATCGCATCGCCACTTATTTATGCAAAACAAAACGTGTAGTTAACCAGTCATTTACCTATAAATTATCACATGGTGTACTATAAGCTTATAATAAGATATATTACAACGATTTAGCCTTAATTTTGGTTTCGTATATCAGCAATATAAGTCACGTGACAATTAGAGAGTGAATTGTTAGCTGCTCGTTTGCTTTGCATACATAAATGGCAACTCGTTGTCACATCTGAGCATTAACATGAGCAAAAGGATCTCAAAAAATGTAAAAATATGTCGACATAATTTAAATGCTATTGCAACATATTCATAGATTATGTCGACATCTTTTGAAAATTATGTGGACGTAGGTAACTCGCAAGTCGAAAGTCGATGGCAGAAATATGCCACCATAATTTAGAGATGCTTTTCATTCCAATTTCATTCAAAATTAGAATTTCATGAAAAAAAGCTGAGTCACAATAAAAATTTGGTATGGTGGTTTATTTAGGATGGCGTCAGTATGAAACATAATAGTAGTTTCCTTTGAAATTTGTAGATGATGAAGCTAAAGCCATCATGACAGACATGACAGCCTTGATGACAGACGTCAAGGAAGTGTTGTCTGAATTCAAACAGACTAGGGACAGACAGAATGTGGACCAGAGGATGCCACAGAAAAAGTCACAAAAGACATCAGGAACTCAGACCAGTGGTAAGGATATATCTCCTGGATTCCACCGATAGTTCCACCGATAGTTCCACTTGTCTTATGGACCCCTGTATTTGTGTTTAATTCATAAATATTTCAAGAAACATAAATTTAATACAGCTGTACTTTACCGACTTGTTTATGAAAGCCACATGCAGTCTGCTTTAGGTTAAATACAATTTTTTTTGTAGCTACTAACAAGTATGTTAAAAACTATTATATTTTCATATCAGTTACAGCTGCAGATATCATACACATATTTTGCCAGTCGTAAATAGAGTTGTTTTTCAAATACAGATTGTGTTAGATATACATTTTGTATGGTAGACTGAGTGAGAATTTTACTTACAAAATCACATATAACAATATTGATCAATTGCCAAAAAGCATGTGTAGTTGAATAGACTTAAGATTTGCAGTTGTTTCAATAAATCTATGAGGTGCTTGGATACAATATAAAGCAGATTTGGGATGCATTTTGTAAGTCTCAGGTCTTTATATTCCTTTTTGCATATGATGTTTTAGTTAATTTATTACCAATAAATGTTTTTTAAAAACTAGCTAGTGATTTGTTAAAGAACTAAACTCCTGTTTCTGTGAATATCAGCTGTCACCAAAAGTAAGGAGAACAATCCAAGGCATGATCAATCTGGAGAAGAAGAAAAAGAAAAAGAGGTATCAGCAAGACGCAAGTACTCAGAAGGCAAGTATGATGAAAATAATAACTGTTTTGTCTGATCTGCTTTTGATATAAACAACAACCATATAGCCACACTCCCACAAATATATCAAACAAAACCGTTTATCTTTTATTTTTCTATGTCAAGCAAACCTTGCACATTCCTGATCAAAGTCTTGTTACAGGGGTAGTGGTGGGGGGGGGGGGGGGT